CATGCGCCCGCTGTCCCGCGGAAAAGCGAAACGCCTTTGGAAATACCGCGGATTCGCGCGGGCCGGTACCACCCGCGCAGACGAGTACGAGCATCATCGATGCTAGCGGCGACCTGTATGGCCGCGTGCAGTCGGCGGGTTGCTGGGCCCCCGCTAAGGCGGCCTCCGCGAAGCGTCGGCAACTCGTCCAAGACGCCCCCTGCGACCCTCCGAAGTCGGCACATTTGGGCCCCGAGGCAAATTTCGCGTCACGAGTAATGAAAATATATTGGCATCTGTATTGCGGGATGGGCGTCGTAATCTTGCCCCCGATGTTCGGCGGGCCCTTCAGGCCGACCATGGAAGCGGTGACTCGTAGAGGTTGCCCAGCAAGCTCACTCGAGGCACGCGGCTCGCTAGCCCGCGTAGCGGCATTGCGCCAGACAGCTCTGACCATGGACCCGTCAAAAATGAGCTCGGCGTCATTGCCATGGTTAGCTCGGCGAAAGAATCGGTCACGAACGCGGCGAACGGCCTCTTCCATGAGTCTCCGGTGCTCCGCTCCTCTGGCGCAGGGTGGCACCCGAGACCAATGAGGATAACTGGCGAGCAGGTTGCGTTGCTCAGCGAACACAGAATCCCGAAAAATATGCCGCGGCATTGGTCGACCATCAGGCCCCAGGGGGCGCCGGACGTTGACTGCGATGAGGAGCGGCGCATGGTCGCTGAGACCCTGCGAGCGAAGCCACTTAGAGAAGGCCTTTGTCGTGGCCGCGATATGCCACTGTAAGGCAGCCCAGCTTGGCGCCGCTGGGAAGGCAAGATCGATCTGCGCGAGCCTCGGGGGCGCATCCTCCTGCTGCGTGAAGTGCGTGGGAAACTAGCTCCAGCGTCGGGTCGGACAGCGGCTGCCAGCGTGCCTCCACGGGCCTCAGCAAACGGAGCAGCAGCAAAGATGCTGACATCTCCCATCATGAACACAATGACTGTTTGGGGCGCGCTCTCTGCTATTCGAAGGTCGGCGCGCAGTCGGGCGGAGACGAAGCCCCCGCGCGCGCAGCCGAGAGCGAAGTTATGATATGGTGGAGGGCGTCGCCCCAGAAGAGGCCCCAGAGATGCGAAGCCGTCGGGCGCGCCCCTGAACCATGTTCTCGCGGCGGTACTTGGCTTTGTCCGACTTGGCGAAAGGACCAAGAATGATGATGGCATTGCCGTCCGTGCCCCGCTTGTCGCAGAAGGTCGAGGACGCGGCGCGCGGACGGCATGGGCGATGGAGAGCTCGATCCAACTCGAGCCCGGCGCCGTGCACTCCCTGAAAACACCTGACCATGTTACGACGAAGGTGGCTATCTAGATAACTGATCTTCCGCTCGCGGGTGCCGGAGTTGCGGTGGAGGAAGGCCCCGGCGCTCCACGTGCCATGAGCGATCTGAAACTGGCCGTCGCGGGGGGCCCTCCACGGGGCAAAGCGACTGCTACATGCTCCACTGCGTGGTATCTGCGGCGCCAAAAGCTTCTCCGAAGGCACGCTTGATCTCGTCCTTGTCCAGGCCCGACCTAGTAGCAGCACGACAGTTCCAAACGAGAGACGACGGTTCCTCCGCAACATCGGCCGCCGCAACTTTGCCGTGGGTGCGTTGCCGTCGCTGATGTTTCCAACGTATATGTTGGCTCTTTATTTCCCTGGTGCGCCTGGCACCCTGACCAAGTCGGGTAACTTTATAATCTGTATTTCTCTGCAAACCGTTTGTGGTGGTTTGTCGAGACTGATGCATATGTCCACATTGCGAGTCGACTGACTGAGCTTGGAATTTCCCCCTGCCCACCCAACCCGAGATGACGGAACGCCTTGGCGACGCGTTTGGCAGCGAGGCCCGCGGCCCAAGCCATCCAGAGCACATGCCGACGGCCTGGGTTGGGTCGAGCCAGAGTTGAAGATGTCGTCCGTGGTGCAGGGCTCCTTACACGATATGATAAGGACGGCGTTGTCTAGGTCTCCGGTCCAACTTGCGACGCCCTCAGCGTTCTGAACAGGTGGGGCAGCTTCGACAACAGCGAGCGCAGCGCCCGCTGGATGACCTCGATATGTCCTCGCATGGCCTTCTGGTTGTGATCGAAATTGGCGGGTCCTCTGTCGAGGTCCGCGGGGTGCGCGGAGACTTGTTCACGCCTAGCTTCTTGAGCTTGGCGAGGGCCCGATTGGCGCGAGCCGTGGTTGCAATGAGAGATTCCGTTAGTGGTTCGCTGAGGTGACCGCGCCCACAATATCGTCACGCACGGCAACAAGAATACCCTCTATATCACCATGAGATACAGGAGAACAAAAGTCAGGTCTCGATCTTGCGGCCCCACGGGGTGCGCGCGGTGCAGTAGTTCCTGCGGTCGAGGCCCCTGCATCGCCAGCGGGTGGAGGACGAGGTGGCCCGTCAGCAGCGCCAAGTTCGCGCCACGGATCATGACCCTGTGAGCATGGGCCACCAGCAGCACGAGGAGGAGGATCCAGCCGAGGGAAGCCTCTCCTCAAGGGCACCGTCAGCTTTGCCAGGGGCACCAGGGCGCCGAGCGCGACCGTCGGTTCCATGCCCTTTGCCACTAGATCCTTGATGCGGGCAAAAGGAAACTCCATCAGGCATGCACCCAGCGGGGTGAAAGCAGAACGGGAACGGATCGGGTGGCTGTCAAGCTGCGAAGGATAAAACCTCAGTGCCTCCTGCTGGCCATGTGCAGTGAGTGTCGAATGCAAAAAAAGACCCTGACCACGTGGGATCACTTTGGTGAGCTCGTGGGCTGTGAACCCCACGTGCGAACCCTGAGCGGAAGCATTTCGGACTTGAGCCTACATGGTTACGGATGTATGTACGTGTGTATGTATGTGTACACACATCATTGTGTATATATATATATATATATAATATATATATATATATATATATATATGTATGTGCGTGCGCTTGCTTATCTGTGTTTGTGTCAGCGCTGGCTGCGGTGCGGTTGCTCTTCGTCGGTGGCCTCCACATTCACGTTGACCACGCACGCGCCTGTCCACCACCTATGGATGTACCTGTGCTGTCCACCACCCATGTGCGCCACCGCGTGAAGCGTTTGCTGCACGCGGTCGCCCGCGTTCAGTTTTTTGGTTGTCGAGGCCACGTCTGCCTCGGACGCGCGCGTTTCATCACGTCTCTTGCATTTGGACGGACGGCCTTTTGTCGTCTCTCTTGCAAGCGCGCTGCTGCGCGCTTCGCGTGCCACCAAGCTGGCTGGTCTGGCAGCCTTACAAATATGTCCCGCCTCACTGGCCAATTAACACCAGACTGCTGCCCGCGCTCCGACTCTTGGCGTCGAGCAACGTTCCGCGGGATGGTTGGCCGCTGCATGTCTGTTTTGCAGTGCCTTTTTTTCTCCTACCACCAACCTGCATGGCCGTGACGGAATTGTTTCGTCATGGCGCGTTCGACGAAGTTCGTTCGCGATTGGCACCTCCACCTGCCGACTGCGCTTGAGGCTCCTCTGCGCCGCCGGCTTGTGTGCGTGACTGTGTTTGTTAGTGTGCTTGTGTATGTGTTGCTATCTTTGGGTTTCGCGGGAACTATCCCCACCTTGGGGAGTGAACTTGTTCGCATAAGACAACATGGCCCAGCGGGGATGGGGATCGTTTAGACCTCGTCTGGTCACTGACCCCATATCTCATTGGCATTGTTCGGGTCGGACGCGGGCGGGGCATCGCCCAAAGGGGGTTTCCCGGCGCCCCCCTAGCGACGGAGGCGGCCAAGTCCCAAGGAGCACAGAGCCTGGCGGCGGGGCCGAAACCAGCTGCATGCTGCACTTATCGTAACCCACCCTTTTCCCCCCCGTCTCGTCCGACCCGAACGGCGCGTTTCTCGGCGTATCGACCCCCCAGGCCTCTCCATGGGGTGCGCTCTGGCCAGATTCCCTGGGCGGATCTGGCCGAAGTGACGAGCAAGCTAGCCCAACAGGGCCAACACGGAAAACCTCGAGCCTCGATCCCACATGGAAGCTGGCCTTCCCAAGTACCCTGCCACACCCGATTAGTCAAAACGATCGTGCGGCTGAAGCGCAGCGTTTTTCACCATCCTGACCGCCCTGCACAAAACCGCATCCACATCCTGCCGATGCGTCAGAAAGCTTCGCCGACAAACCACGACGTGCCCTGAATGTGAAGCCCGACTCTTGCAGCCCTGGCCGGCCGACGGCCACTACCCAACACGGCACCTCGACACCCACCATGCGAGCGCACCTCGAGGGCCCCGCGGCCACCGACGAGCGAGGACCCGACCTCTGGAGGCGGCGACGCCAAGATGGAGCAGCCCATGGGCGACAAGCAAGGGCCCGACCTCTGGACGCGACGAGCGAGATCCAGCACTGCGGACTCCCACGCCCTGGCGGACTGCGCATGCGGAGGCCGCCCAAACGAGGTCAGAGCAGGCGGGATCGGAGGACCATTCCGCATCCCAGAGTCCGATTGCAGGGAGAAGTTCGGGGGAAAACAAACCTACCTCGCTTTTGACCACCCTCGCTTCCAAGAGATACCAAACAATGCCAAATTGCGGCCTGTACTGGTCAGGACGCTTGACGATGAGGCGCGTGGTATGGCTTGGTTTTGCCTGGAAGCGAAAGCGGGGGAGGTAATTCACGCTCTGAGAAGTGCACGAGCTCCTCGCCCGGCCTCCTCAACTCCACGGGAGCGCGCCGACGCCACACCTGCACCGCTCCCAGCCAGGGCCCGGGCGGCAGGATCGGCGCCTGCCCCGAGCCTGGGCCCGGCATCGGCCTGGCCAGGACTGGCGCAGGCTCACATGTGGAGCCCCCCCCTCCCGACTGAGCAGAGCACTCGGCATCGCTCGGACGTCAATTTCCTGTGTGTTTTTAGGTTCCGTGCGTGGTTTTTTCGCCAAAGGATCAAGGATGCTCATCGAGGGCCCTCGCCGAAGGAGAAATGCACACGTCCGAGCGATGCTAAGAGCAGAAAGGAGCAGGCTCGGTGGCGGGCCCGAGCGGACCTGCTCCGGGAAGGGCTTGGACCGGTCGGCGGCTTCGAAAGGCTCCCCGTGCAGAATACCGAACTTCAACATCTCCAGCGCCACCAGGCAGGGCTCCTGGCATCGAAGGGCTCTCTCCAGGCTCTCCGCAAAGAGCTCCCAGCACCACTGCCCCACACTTGACCTTCGCGCACTCCCTGGAGGCGAAAGTGCGCCAGGAGCATGCCACTGGATGTGGCAAACACCGTGCGCAAAAAGTGGAGACGAACGCAGATATCGTGAAGTAGCCTGGCGAAGGAACCAACCATATGCAGTTGTGAGTAAAGCAGTTGTGAGCACCATATTCAATGGAGCTGCCTGTTGGGCTACAGAACGTGTGATGGGGTGTGCCGTACTGGGTGCGGGGGACGCATGCGAGAATCGCCACTGGGGCCTTCGGTGGTGTCCTCAGGGGGGTTAGCGAAGCATGGCAAAGGCGAGCAAGATGAGCCCACAACTGCATGGGCACTTTTTCACTTCGGCCATCTGTGGAGCTACTATGGGGCTTGAAAAGCGTGGCAGTGTCGCGGGAAATGAGGCCACGACTGCTTGAGGACTTTTTCATGTCGGCCTTTTGTGGACCTCCCATGGGGCTTGAAAAGCGTGGCATGGGCGAGCAAGATGAGCCCCCGACTGTATGCGGACTGTTGACCGCACCTCGGACTTTGCTTCGTCGGCCTGCCGGTGGAGCTCCCATGGGGCCTGAAGAGCGCGAGCGAAAGGAGCCCTGGACTGCATGCGCACTTTTTCGGTGTGGCCTTCTGTGGAGCTTCTTGACTACCTACCAGACCACCCCAACCCAACCCGAAGACCCGAATTTCGGGTTGGGGGGGTAAGGGTTCCACATGTGTTTTTTCGATGTTTCCCGACCCCCCCCACACTGGAAATCGAGGGTAAATTTGAGCCTTCGGGTTGGGTTGGGGTGGTTTGGTGGGTGGTGACTTCTGTTGCGCTTGAAAGTGTGGCAGGGGAAGGCAAACATAATCCACGACTGCATGCGAGCTTTGTCGTGTTGGCCGCCTGTGGAGCTCCCGTGGCTTGAAAAGCGTGGCAGGGGCGAGCGAGATGAGGCCACGACTGCATGTGGACTTGTTCATTTCGGCCTTCCGTGAGGCTCCTACGGGGCTTGAAAAGCATGCCATGTGGCGAGCGAAATCAACCCACGACTGTATGCAGACTTCTTGATTCCGGCCGGTCGTGGAGCTCCCGTGGGGCTCGAAAAACACAGAGGAGGGAGCGACATGAGCCCACGATTGCATGCGGACTTTCTCATCTCGGCCTCCTGTGGAGCTTCTGTGAGGCTGGAAAAACGTGCCAGGGCAGGGGCAGGATCGGATTGACTCAGCAGGAGGAAGCGCCGAGCTCCGCAGCGCCGTCGCAGAGGCAGGAGGGAGGAGGTGAAGGGGCCCCAGGACACACAAATAAATACACACAAGTAAAACGATTCCCCATATTTTCCAATATTTCTTGGGTTTTTGTCCTCCCCCCCACTTCCCATATTTTTGCATACTCTCCTGGGAGTCGACGATTAATTGTGTCTGTGTTTCTTTCCCTCCTGAGGAGGGGGGAGGAGGACCAGGAAGACACGCGGGGCGCTGCCGATCCAAAACTAGGACCCAGAACCCCAGGATGGTTGGGAAAAACATCTCTCCGCTCCTCATCCCCGACCCCTCCCCCCCTTCTTTGGCTTGCCTTCTTGACGAATCAGGCTGCCGTGACAGAGCATTGCCGCGTAGCTGCTTCAAGTCCTTTCGCAGCAATCTCGGGAGGGAGGGATGGACAAGGGTCGGGGGAGGGAGGGAGGCACACTTGTGCGTTGAGTCCAGGAGAACACTCCAAGGGCCCGGCGAGGGCCCTCAGATACCGAAAACGGCGAGAAAGCACCGTCTTGATTTGCTCAACGAGCTGGATGTCTGGGGTCATGGGGGGTGGGCGCAACTCCCACCAGCCGCCTGTCGCGATTATGCCACGGCGCGGCGTCGACAGCTGGGGCACTCCACGGCCCACCCTCGGAACGAGCCCGAGGCTGAAAACTTGTGATTCGGGCGGCACCGGCCGGCGTGGGCGGTCCCAAGAGTCCCCAGAGGGTGCGGGAAGTGCTCGGACGGGGCCCGCGGCCACGGTGAGAGAGCGAAAGAGAGGACGACCAAAACTCGTCCGCCTCCCTCACCCAGATCGCCTGCAGTCGGGGCGTTGACCTAAGGAAACCTAAATAAGGAACGAGGCCCCTTTTCTCCATAAGTTAAACTTCGATTCCCCATCGAGAACATAGGGGAAAACCTGAGGCAAGCCGTGAAACACTAAGGAACGCGGAGCCCCTCCCCAACCAAAAGGGTTCCTTCTTCAGGGCACCGACTGTAACTTCGCGCTTCGCGCCCCGCGGTGCGCGACCACCTTGGCGCCCTTGCGCTGTCGCCGAGGAGAAACACACCTCCGCGGCGCCCAAGCCGCGACGCGCGAAGCGCGGTTGTCTTCGCGCCCCCTCTGGGGTGACCCAGCCTTATCTTTCCTTATCCTCCTTCCTCTGCCTCCCCTGCTGCATCCCTGAGGTCTGACGCTGCGAAAGAACTGCATCACAACGAAGAATCATGAATGGAACCCTGGACCGCGTTCTCCCGCAGAAATAAATCGAGCCCGGCAGACGTTCGATGTTCACGAGGCCCGAAACCACTAGAACACACCTGGGGGGGAACATGATGGCACACTGGGATCTCACGGGTGCCCTCGTTTGCCCGGCCTGGGGCCTGGGCCGGACATTGCAACTGGCCAGGGTCCAGGGGCCACGGGCCATCGCGCGAACCGCTCACCTCAGGACTCCCCTCTGCAGGCTCTCGGCCCCGCAGGCGCGCGCGCGACCCCAACTTTTTTCGGGCGGCTGCTCCTGCAGGCGCGTGGGCGTGTCGCAAATCACGTTCCCGAGAACGGTCTGGCTGCCGTCCTGCTCGGCGGCACATGTCCCTGCTACGCTCCAAATCGGAAGCCCTCATCCCCGACGCCATGATACCTTCAATCCCAGCGTTTTCCTCCGATTTCGGCACGTGGGGCCCGTCGCCATCGGGACCCGGGGTCATCACACATAAACCCGGGGAGAAAAAACTACAGTCGGGGCGTTGACCAAAGGAACCCCAAATAAGGAACGCGGCCCCTATTTTCCATAAGTGGAACTTCGACTTCCCATCGAAAATCCAAGGAACATCTGAGGCAAAATGCGAAACAGTGAGGGAACGCGGAGCCCCTCCCAAACGAAAAGGGTTCCTTCCTCAGGGCCCCGACTGTACACCCTGCGAAATGCTTAAGAAATCATGGGTTAAGAAATTCATAGTCTCAGAACTTGAATAAAAACCCAGAATGTCTATTCAAATCGTGGGATTTACATTGAAAAGTTAAGAATAATCGAGACTCTGGACGAAAATTTGAGTTTTCTTAAGTATCGCCTAACGTGTACCACCAGGGAGCGGGTCGGAACGCCCAGGCCGCACTCTTGAAGAAGCAGCAAGACACCGGAGGACGTCGGGGGGCCCGGCTGCCGGCGATCCCCGCGGCAGAGATTTTGTTGGACAAGCGGCGGGGGCGGGCGCCAACGCCACGAGGAGTGCGCAGGCAGCCTCATGTACAGTTGGGGCCTCGACCTAAGGAACCCTAAATAAGGAACGAGGCCCCCTCTTCCCATAGGTTACACTTCGATTCCCCATGGAAAACCTAAGGAAAACCCAAGGCAAACTGCAGAACAATCAAGGAACACCGAGCCCCTCCCCAACGAAAAGTGTTCCATCTCCAGCGCCCCGACTGTACCAAAAACCTGTGCACTGGAAGGTGAGCGGCCGCTGCCAGCTGCCGCAATGGGGCAGCGCAGGTTCCGCTAGAAAAGCAAACCATCATCCACAAGCAAAGTGTCTGCGCTGGGCCAGGGCCGTCGGCGGCCGCCGTCAAGGGGTCTGGCACCATGGAAGCGAACCGCTGCTGGTCTCCAGCGCACTGTCGCACGTGCGGCGCCAGTCCAGGGACAAGAGATTTGCCGAAGTGCGCCACGACAAGCGACGCATCGCGTAGAAGGCCGCCGCGACGGCCGGGAGAGGGAAACCAAAAGGGAGGGGCGGAGGCGAAGCGAGGGGGGAGGGAGGCGACCACCCCAGTGTTGGAAAGGCTGCTGCTTGAAAACAGCTGAATGACCACAGTAGCTGTGACGTACGTTGCCTAAGGTGTTGCCGAATCAGATTGCTGCATGCGATGGGCTGACCATGTTGGTGTTTTTTGTACTTGGTAGGCGCACGGTCGCCTTTTGGAAATCACCTAGTGAGTCTGTCGATGGTGCCGTTGTGGCAAGAACTCGCAAGAAAACGACGTCCTTTCCATGATCCTCATCTTCGCGTTCCTTCCGTCCGCCCCCTCCCTTCCTCGTCAAACTCCATCCCTTCGCTCTATCATTGGACCCTCATTCTTCCTTCATCAAATCATTATTTGTCCTCCCGACACCAGATATCGCGCGCTCTGGTTCGACGTGCACCCGAAGAGACACGACAAACGATAATACAAGGATGGATGGCAGGGGGCCCGCTTGTTTTACAATCGCTCCAAACCGATCTTCGCCCATAATCTACAGCAGGATGCTGCAAATTGAAAGGCTCCCCGTCTCGTAAATAGATGCTCGACTTGTTGAGGTGAGGGTTCGTTTGTGTGTGTGTGTTTCATTGCGTATTATATTTCACGCTGCCCCTCGGTCAAGAAGGGATCCCCTCGACACGAGGGGCTACTCTGTCTCCACCCACTGCGCCCAGGGCCAGCAGTCGGCAGTCAGACGCGACTGCCGCGAGTATGCGGTATCTACGTGCGCCCCCAAAACCAGAATGGGGCTCCGAGCCAAGCGGAACCATTCAAACGTGTAACAGCAGTCAGGGAAGGCAACGTGATGAGGAGTCAGGGAGAAGGTAAGTCGGGGGGCAGAAAGTGGTAGGGAGGTGGGAGGAGGAAGGATGAAGGGAAATGACATGGGAGGAGATCGGATGGACGAGTGAGAGAGGGATGGGTGTCCTGAGAGCCAAGGTCAGTTGACCAGAAGAACGGGTCGAATGGCAAACGGTGCAGGGGAGAGTAGACAGCGACAGAAAAACTCGAACTGTTACGAAGCTGGCGCATTCACAGGCTTACGAGGAGCACGAATCTTTCTGCCAAGCTCCTCCGCTGCTTTGTCTGAATCAGCCGCTGCCTCACTCAGACGTAAGCTCGGCCGCTGCTTCAGTGCGCCAGACTTGGGCTCAACACTCGCGGCCGCGGCGAAGGCGTCGACAAGGCCGGGGGACTTTTTGGGACATCGTATCCATCAGCGCTGGCGGGAGGCATTCTTCCTATCTTCTTCCTTGACCTGCAGCTCGGCGAAGACGTCGCGCCGACTGGACTGCTTACATCTGCGAACGTCGCGTTTGTCTGGATGATGCTGCCCAACAGCGCGGACACGATCGAACGGAACTCCGTCCGTCGCTGCCATCATGTCCCCGAGCCCCCTGGTTGAGCTGCATCTTCTGGATCGTCGATGGCTGGGAGAGGGTTGCACGCGACGCGGGAAACTCGGTCATCGCGCGCTCTGCCGTGCCGAACGAAAGAATGAAATCCTGCGCGATCCTCGTATCAGCATCTCTCATGGGTTCTTTGACCGTGGAGCTCAGCCATTGCGCCCCGTCCGAATCGAAGTTCAAGTCCTCCGTGAGGCCCAAGGTGTCATTGCCCTTCTCGCCGCGCTTGTCCAAGAACTTCAGCGCGTCGGTGACGTCGAACGTCGCAAACGTCGCGGCGAAACGCGAGCCCGACTCCACTTCGAGCTTCTTCCGCCAGTCGCTCAGTTCCGGCATATCAGACACTGGCGGGCGGAGGGCCGCGTAGTTTTTCAGGGCCGCGGTCGCCCGGGCGCAGCCGACAACGTTTCCCTCGAGGATCGTCTCCAGAACCTTATGAAGCGGTGGCCCTGAGCTACGTAACTGGGCAATCTTCACGGCGGCGGGGAGCGCAGGGGGGGCCCGCGCCAGTCGCTGCCCGGGGCCCGCCCCAGGCGCGGGCCCTGGGCAGCCCGCCTCGCTGCTGCCGCCGTCTGGGGAGCTAGGGGGCGCCGGGGCCCACCTGGCGCGCCCTGCTGCCGGCGGCGCGGGGCCGGGCCCAGGCGCTGGAGGCGGCGGGCGCGCGCCGCCCGTTGGGCCAGTCTGCGCCGCGGTCTGCGCCTGGGCCACGCTCTGCCGCCGGGAACTCCCGGCGGCGGCGCCTTGAGCATGCCCCTGCTGGGTGCCCTCTGCAGGCGACGGAGCTGCGCGCTGGCGGGCAGCCCTCGGCCTGGCGACTGCTCCAGCTGAGCGCGACTGGGGCCGCGGCCTGGGGCGCCAGGCTGCGCTCGACGCGGCCGGGGCCGCGCGGGCGGCGCAGCGCATGGCAGGGGCGGCTGCGCCGAGCGCCTCGCTGGCCGCGGGTGGCCCCCGCGAGCCCTGGCGGGCGGCCCGCGCCCAGTCCGCGCCCGCTGCTCACGCCTCCTGAAGACACCACTGGCGCTGCGCAAAACGCTCGCGCGGGCTGGTGCAGCGGCGCGCTGCGGCTGATCCTGCGGGGACCTGCCGTTGGTCGCGGAGCGTGGCCTCGCCCTCTGCCCTGGCCAAAACCGCGAGGCATTCGACCGCGCGAACGCCGCGCGCCGGCCATCTCGGGGGGGGGCCTGCTGGGGCTGCTCGAGCAGGGGGCCGTCTCTGGTGGCGCCCGACAGCGAAGTCAGCGCTGGGCCAGCGCCGCGGGTCGCGGGCCTCTGGGGCGCCCTCGATGAAGGGGCCCTGGGACACACAAATAAATCCGCCGGCCCCCTTGTGGGGCCACCAGGCTGTAGGCGCGAGGTTCGCAGTGTCCTGTGCCAGTTGTAGCTTGTAGTTTCCAGTGTTACAGTTCTGCTTCTTGCTGGTTACTGTAACTAGTTGACTTATTGCTGGTTACTGTAACTAGTTGATTGACCGCGCGAGGGGGGGAAGGCCCAAACCAGATTTTTAGCACCCCCTGGGCGCGTTGTCTGAATTGCTGGGGGAGCTCGAAATCGACACCCCTCACGCAGATCCGCGGGGTCAGGGTCCAAAAACACATGGGATTTGCCACATTTCTGAAATTCGGTGCCACCCCTCACGCAGATCCGCGGGGTCAGGGTCCAAAAACACAAGGGATTTGCCACATTTCTGAAATTCGGTGCCACCCCTCACGCAGATCCGCGGGGTCAGGGTCCAAAAACACAAGGGATTGCCACATTTCTGAAATTCGGTGCCACCCCTCACGCAGATCCGCGGGGTCAGGGTCCAAAAACACAGGGGATTCGTACATTTCTGAAATTCGGTGCCACCCCTCATGCAAATCCGCGGGGTCAGGGTCCAAAAACACAAGGGATCTGCCACATTTCTGAAATTCGGTGCCACCCCTCACGCAGATCCGCGGGGTCAGGGTTCAAAACACGGGATTTGTAACATTTCTGAAATTCGGCGCCACCCCTTACGCAGATCCGCGGGGCCAGGGTCCAAAAACACAGGGGATTTGCCACATTTCTGAAATTCGGTGCCACCCTTCACGCACATCCATCGCAAGGCGTGGTAACCCAAACTGCGAGAACTCCCTCGGCCCTTTAATCGCAAGGTGTGGTAACCAAGCCCGTAAACCATACACGTCTTACCAATCGCCAGGTGTGGTAACCCCTCTTGTGATCAGTTGGTTTTGCTGATTGCGAATCGGCTTCGCATGAAGTTTCGATGCTGCTTCACGACAGCGCCAAGGCCTCATGACTTAGCTCTTCCATGGCCCATTCTCCGAGAGAGGGGGCCGGCGGCAGGGGGCGAAGCCCTTGCGGATACATACAAATAACAGGACCCCCGTACTTTCCTATAATTTCTGGTTTCAGTTCCCCCCCCCCCACACTCCCCATACTTTCCCATGCGAGATCTCAGGGGATCGACGATGAACCGTGCCTGTGCGTTTCTTCCCCTCCTGACTCGAGGCGCCGACGCGGCGGGGGCCCTCGGCGCAGATGGCCGCCCGCTTCCCCCGCCCCCCGAAGTGGTCGACCGAGGCGCGCCGCGCGGCGGGGCCTCGCGCTGGCGCGCCGACGTCGGGGCGGCGGCCCGGCGCGCCGCGCCGCGGCCGGTCGGCGGCGGGCAGCGCGGCGCGGCGGAGCCGGCGGCGGCCGGGTCTGGCAGCGGGCGCCGCGCGGGCGGGGCCTTCGCCCGCCACGGCAGGCGGTCGGGGGGCCAGCGCCGCCCCGCCCAGGGCAGCCGCTCGGCGGGGCGGGGCGGCGCCCTCGCCGGCGCGCGGCGGGATCTCGGCGGCCCCTCCCGGAATGGCCCGGGCCGAGCCTTCCCGCGCCCGACCTCGGCGCCCGCGCGGCCTGTCTCTGCGCCTCGCTGCGCATCTGGGCGAGCAGCGACATATGTACATGTGCGCCCTCCGCGATCTTGCCTGCACGAACGTCCGCGTTGACACGCACTCCAGGGGAAGCCAACCGCGTACGTGTACACATGTTGCTGGCCTCTGAGCATTATGTTTCTCCCCATGTCTTACGCGCCGTAGGGCGGGCGGAGCTCGGGCGCCCGCGGGCCGCGCCCTCGCGGGTCGCATCCGCGCGCCGCGTCGGCGCAGCGGCGATGGTCGAGGAGGCCTGCGCCGAGACATCTGCCGCATGTCTCAAGCATGCTACAGAAATACGGTCCTGCACCGAAGGTCCCCGCTTCGCGCGACCTTCAAAGAAACGCCCTGCGAACCAAGTGCAACCCGCGAGCCGACCTGGAGGTGGACCGTGACCTGAAAGAAAACGAGCGCGCGAAAGCTGACGAATTACCCCCTCCCCCCGCGCCCGCCGCAGGCCAGAGGAAACGCGCGCGCGGGGTGAGCCAGCCGCGTCGCGAATCAAACGCTCCCGAGGCAAACTCGGGCGCCTCGCGAGCCGACCTGCAATAGGCATACTCACGCAGTGAACCGTGGCCCGAACAATGAATCGACAGCGCAGCTGCGACAGGAGAGGGCGGAGGGAGGAAGAGGGGGGGGGAGGGGGGGCGAGCAGCGCGCCCCTGGGCCCCAGACAGAACGCGGGGGCGCGCGTCGTTGTCGCTCTCAGGGGCATCGCTGGCCACGCTAGAAAGCTAACATGCCGCGTGGCCCCGTCGCTGGCGACGGCGCCCGATTCCGAGGCGGCGAACAGGAAAACCCGCGGCCGGCCATCGCCCGGGCCCCCAGGCGCCAGGGTCGGCGCGGGGCGGCGGGGGCTGGCGCAGGTGCCAACCCAGTGCAAGTTCATGTAGGGGCCGTAATTCAGTCTTTTAAATGCCAAGCAAGTTCGACGAGCTCGTCCCGGGCAGACCGCGAACGCACGCAGTCGCCATGGGGGCCGCCGAGGGCGGCGGGCGCTGTCCGGGAAGCGGCGGCGGGGGGCAGGAGCGCTGCCGCAGGGGCCGCCGCCGCGCGGACAGGGCCCGAGCTCGCTCCAGCCGGCGCCCCAGGAGCGGGCGCCGCGTCGCCCGTCCTTCGCTGCCCGCCGCGGCGAGTTGCCGGGGTCGCCTCGCGCTCCAGGCAGGGAGCCAAGCGATGCGAGTGCCCCCCAGGCCCTGCTTGTTCGGGGGTCGCGGGGAACCCGCGGGGCTTCATTGCCGAGGGGTCATCGTCGCGCCCCGCGTCGTCTGCGACCAGGGCAGACTCGACGCGCGCATAGGCCTGGTGGATCTCGCTTCTGCGTCGTCTGTGTCCAGGGCCAGGCGCGCCAGGCCCGCGCGGCGCGAGCTCCTGCGGGCGCCGACCAGCAGTCTCGCCGCGCAGCAGCGCCCTGGGGCCAAAAGATGCGCCGGGACCCGCCAGGGCGCCACGGAGAGGCCTGGAAGACCAGGAAACCATCTCGAGATCCCCAGGACCTGGCACACGTCGCTGGGGCGCGCATAGCCTTCCTGCCAGGAGGCCTTCCAGACGAACATCCCCGGGGGCGCCTCGCCCGGGGGCCAGGCGCGCGCTGGCCTATTGGCGGGCAGCCGTCGCAGCGCGCCGCGTAGGCGCTGGGCATGGCCACGTTGGCCGCCAGCCGATCCTCCACGATGCGTTCCAGTGGCAGCGCGGCGCTGCTGGTAGCGGGGTCATGCCGACCGATCAGGGCTAGCAGAAACTGGTCAAGGGTAGTCTGGCGAGTGGCCCCGTCAACCAAGCAACCCTCTGGGATGAACCGCCTGTCAATGGATTATGGCTCCCGCTCCTCCTCCGATCGCTCTCTGAAACATTGGGCAAACCGCCGACACTCTGGGACCGTGAAGCTTCTGCCCTCGCATTCGTCAACTCGACAAGGGTCGTAGTGCCACCGGCAGCTTACTCCCTGAGAGTACGCGGGCTCATGGCTCTGGGCGACCATGGCCCTGACATGAGCATGCCGCCAGGCCCTCTTGTCGTGTTTGTGCGGGCCCTTGACACACACACACACACACACACACACACACACACACGTCGCACCAGATCTGGGCCAGATGCTGAGCAGGGTTGAAGCGCCGAGAGGGCCCCAGGTGCACGCCGGGGCGACGGTTCGCTTGGTTCTCGCACTCGGTGATCGAAAAACCACCGCCCATGTATTGGAGTACCACGTCGATGCCAGGCGCAGCACTTTTGAGGCCGACCTACGAATCTGTAACTTGTTTGGAGTGGTCGCAAACGGCACAGGCCTTTGAGCCTGGACGGTGACCTTGGCAGGCACGACGAAGGCTGCCATGACCATGAATGTGGCCTTGATTGAGGGCTCGCATGCCCCCATGCCCTTCCAATCCACAAGGCAGCTGGCAGCCCTGGCAACGCCGTGGTGGTGGGCGACCGCCACCAGTTTGGCCACCGCCTCGACCAAATTTCCAGAAGGATGTGCAGATGGCGGAAGTCCCTAGGAGCGATACCCCTGTCTTTGCCGAAGTCGTCACGCACGGCCGTGTCCCGTTGCCCCTCGGGTCGCAGGTGCCCAGAGTGGCCTCGATGATGCCCCCAACTGGTCCATACTGACCATCGGGAAACTTACAGACCAGCAGTAGCATCAGGACCAGGACAGCGAGTATCCAATGAAAGCTCATATGCGTGCCGTCTGGCGCAAGGGGTCTGTCCGCGAGCTTGGAGACGTGCTGGCAGGGTCGGCAAATAGCCGACAGGTGCTCGGCGGACGACGGGTCCTTGTGGAACGGGCACCAGCGAATGGACTTGCTCCAGGCGCAAGAATGCGTGTGGTCCGTGTTGGGCGGCACACAGCTGGAATTGATGAGCCTCGCAGCAGACACAAGATATCAAAAACTCGATACATGCGCACCCCTTGCGAGCAGTCCGCCAAACGAGGGGGGGCGTTGAGCTGAAGAGGACGCTACGCAGCGAACCTACACTGAATGGTGCGTACGACGTGTCCAGCATGAACTAGAAGGTTGTCGACTGGGGAAACTGACAGGAAGAGGAGGAGGGGAGGGGGAGGTCGAGGGGAAGGGAGAGAGGGGAGGGGGGAGCATGAAACAAGGGTGGGAGAGGAGGAGGGGGGGTGGGCAAGGGAGAAAGAAGAGGGTGAGAGAAGGAAGGGAGGAACAATGAGTGATAGCGGGTAAGAGTGAGAGAGGAAGAGACGGGCAACTGGCAAACCACACACACACAAACACACACACACACACGCACACGCACACACACACACACACACACACACACGCGCACACACGGGAGGCACCGAATATCCTCGCTGGCTATGAGTTCCAGGTTCTCGAGGACCATGAAGTGCACTAGCGCACAAAGGGAGACCAGGTCGTTCGAGCAGGACGGAAAGCCTGCCCTCGCTCAGGCACGGCCGTTCCTTTCGTGTCTCTCTCTCTCTCTCCCTCTCTCCCTCTCCCTCTCTCTCGCTCGTGCTGCACGCTCCCCAGACAATGCCTGCACTGTGTCTGCGCTGAAGGGCTTCCGCTTCTCTTCTGAGGAGCCTGGCCTGGGCGCGGCCTCGGCGGCCCCGCTCCCGTCCGTCGCCACCGCCGCCCCGTGGCACCCCGCCCGTGGCATTGCGATCGCATCTTATTGCGATTGCATCGCAATCGGATTGCACTGTACTGCGTCGACTCGCAATCGCACTGCGTCGGGCTGCTTTGCAATCGTAGTATAGGGAGCCCACAAAGAACGTACGCGCCCAGCTATGTACATGAACACGGCCCCTCGATTCGCGAGACCGGCCGCGTGATACGAACATTTGTGCAATGCGTGCTCTCGAAACCAGCGTGGATTCATGTACACGTACGTCCTTCTTTCGCTCCTGATAGTACGCTGCAGTCGCATTGCCCTTGTACTGACTTGCCTTGCTCTTCGTCGCTCTGCATCGCACTGCGCCGCATTACGTTGCGTTGCGTAGAATTGCTTTCTGTTGATATGCGCCGCATGGGTTTGCCCCAACTAGATCGCACCATCTTGATTCTCCTTTCTTAAAAGAGAATAGAATCTGCCCCCCACCCCGGGATTATCAACTCGTCTTCGTATTGCCATTTGCATATGATTATGACCCATCGTCAATCTGAAATATGAACTCACATCATCCCAAAGGGGCCGGTATCGGCCCCCCCGCCATCCTCTGCAACAAATTACTGTGTGCGCGCACTCGTTTTTTTCACAAATCAGCTTGTTTCCAAAAGTCCCTTGCAAAAAGTGAAGTGCACAGCGCGTTGTCGCGCGCGCCTTCCGAAATCCTTTGAAAAACCTTCTTTGTCGTAGCGATGTCAAAACCGAATACCCAAAACATATATAACAACACATGGTTTCGCAATACGGATGTTCAACAAAAAAATTGCGCGCGCGCTCTTGCGAATTCTTAAGAAAACCATCGGTTTTCTTCAACAAACGACCGGTGAACCGGCCGTCTGTTGAACCGGTGTCTGTTGAACCGATCATCTGTTGAACCGGTCGTCTATTGAACCGATCTTCTGCTCTTTGAAAGTCCGTGATCACCGCGACACAAAGGGCGTGGCACTTGGGCAACCCATGGGGGAGCCGCCAGGAGGCAGAAGGTCTACTCGTTTGCGCTCAGATCGTGCGGATGTCTCGAGCGAGGCGCTCGTTTGGAGTCCCCGACTCCTGTCTTTGGCAGGCCTCATGATCACCGCGACGCAGCAGGCGTGGCACTGGCGCATCCCAAGGGGTAGCCGCCAGGGGGTGTCGCACTTGCCCGTTCGCGGCCAGAGTGTGGGGATATCTCGAGCGATGCGCTGAATTTGGCATTCGGCACCCCACTTCTCTGATTTGGGAGTCCAGTGATCACCACGATGTAGCAAGCATAGCACTTGGGCACCCAAGGGGGAGCCGCCAGGGGGTGTCACGCTTGCCTGCTTGCAGTCAGATCGCGGGGACGTCTCAAGCAAAAAACAAGTTTGGGGATCCCTGAGTCCTCTCCCTCCAGACCCGGAAATCATCCCGATGAAGCGAATAAAGAACTGGAACACCCCACGGGTGAGCCGCCAGGACGCACTCAGACGCTCACAGCGGGAAGTGTCAGGAAATGAGATGCACATGTGGGGGATCCCAGCGTCGAGCAAAAGTGGAATCATCTCCGTTAGCTCTGTATTCCCAGCCCTCCTGGGGATGGGCCCTCGATCTGAATCAAACGATGCTCGCGCGTCTTCCTCCCCGTCATCTCCCGCCCGCGTCCTCCTGCCGTCTGCCGCCCCCCTCCTCTCGACCCTCCTCCTCCCCATGCTCCTGCCTGCTTTTGGAGGCCTGGAAATTGGCACCAACACCAGCACAGGGGGTTGCCTCCACATGGGAGAAATGATCCTCGACTTCGGTGTTGGTGGTGATATTTCGGTCACCTTGGAAGCCAACAAAAATTACCACCATCACCGAGATCGGGATCGTCTTCCCTCGGTGGAGGCACACCGCCGATCTTGGTGTTGGTGTCAACCTCTAGGCCTGCGATGCTTGTCCCTGCCTCGTGCTCGCGCTGCCTGGGGGGCTGCGACCTGTGAAACTGTCGCCCTTGTCGTGGGCGCGTGGTGGGCCCACCGGAATGACGTTTTACGCGGATCAGACTGGAAACTCGTTGTGAAGAAGACCTCCACTCTCGTGGGATCCTGGGGGGTCCAGCGGAGTGCCATCTCACGCGGATCAGGATGAGACCTCGCCGTCCCCTCGGGGCCTGCGAACTGCGAGACCGTCGCCACGCTCGTGGGCTCCTGGGTGGTATAGCGGAATGACCTTTTACGCTAATCAGAATGTGACCTTGCCGACCCTCGGGCCCTGCGAACTGTGAAATTGCAGCGACTTTCGTTGGCTCCTCGGAGGGTCAGCTCACTGACGTCGTCTTACCCCGATCAGAATGTGACCCCGCCGTCCCCCTGGAGCCTGTCGCCATTTTCGAGGGCTCCTGGAAGCCCAACGGAGTGACGTCTTACGCGGATCGAAATGAGACCTCGCCGTTCCGTTGGGGGCTGCGAACTGAATGTGTTCCCGCGGTCTTGAGCTCCTCGGGTCATCGATGGTGCAGCAGAGGGACGCCTTACGCGGATCTGAATGAAACCTCGCTAGCGGAGTCATGTTTACACTTGCCACGTCGAGCCATGCGTGCACTTCGCGAACGAACTCGCGGAATGGTACGTTGCCTGCGGGGTCCCCGGTGGGGGCCACGAGTGCGTGTTTCACCCATTCCTCTTCGCATGTATATAATTGCCAAACCAAGACGCACCCATACAAATCCCCAAAATAGCCCTGATATCGTGCATGCTAATATTGTAGTTGATGATGTCAGTGTCCGTGTCTTGAAGGACTGACGTACCCATCAAGTTACGACTGGGGGCATGGTATGACGTGACATTCAGTTTGCGGATGCGTCTTGGGACTCAGCCTGCGCGTGGCGTGTTGCCACGCGGCGGTGGCATGGAAACAATATGATGGTAACTTACCAATTGGTTGCGTCATATTTGGAAACCGTGGCTGAAAACTGGCGAGACTGGACGCCCCAGTGTGCCGTGGTACGTCGCTAAGAACTTCGCGCACGATGCAAGTGCCAACCACATAAAGATGAGGCCAGCCCCGCTTCCAAATGAAAAAAAAACGAAGGCCAGGAGGGTGTAAGCCGAAACCCTGCTCAGGGCGACGTCGTAGACGCATCGCGGCATCCCATAGCTCATCCCACACTGAAGACCAAGACGGTAGGCGAGAGACAAGGTATGAGATGAGCGGATGCACCATCGAAAGATGCGGACGCCACCTTTATCCGTGACTCCGGTGCTATAGTAGGTCGCTGACGCGAGATAGTCAAATGGGGCAGCGCTGTCTTGAGCCAGACAGCGGCGGACGTGGGCAAGACGCTCGCCGTGCTCACCTTTGCCCCTTTGGTCTCCCTTCAAAGTGAGGGTCCCTGTTCGCCCAAAATGGCCCCAAGAGGACCTCCAAGGCGGCCCGAGATACAACCGAAAATGGTTCAATGCAGTTTTCTGACATGGTTCCAAAGCCCGACGAGCGCCACGAGACGCATTTCAAGTGCTCTCGGAGCCCCCGCAGGACCCCCCGAGATGTCGCAATCCTTGGATTACCTTGGGAAATCACTGAAGTGCGCCTTTTCGCCCGGTCGCTCCTGGCGGCTTCAAACGTGCTTTTGAAACCCCAAGATTGTCCCGAGATGGCCCAAGAGGCCCCAGAAAGGCCCGACGAGCGCCCAAGATCGGCTCAAGAGCGCACCGAGACCGCCCCAGGAAGCGATTGCGATGGCCCCGGGGAGGGGGGGACAAACTTGAGATGCCCCTTTTTCATCCACGGCCCCCAAAATGGCCCCAAGGGGCCCTCCGGGGCTCCCAAAGGACCCCCTAGAGCGCTCCAAAAAAGCTCCAAGAGGACCCCGAGATCCCCCGAGAAAGTTTCAAAAAGGCTCCAAGAGGCAAGGGGGCTCTGTCCTCCTCCTCCTCCTCCCCCTCCTCCTCTAATAATAATAAGAAGCAGGATGAGGACCATGTGGCAAAGTGTTTGGGATGCGGCACGAGCTGGTGCATCTCTTAGGGGCGTGACCAAATTCTTTTTCAATGCTATAGTGGGTCGGGAAAACCTCTGGCGGCCCAGGCCAATGGCGCGCCAGCGCCCGTGGGCCAGACGCCGGCGGCACGCGCGCTACGCTCGCTATACAGACGCCCCATCTATACCCCCTGTTTCAGAGTCAAGGGGGGGGGGGGGGGGGGCGAGCGGAGCGAGCGGCAAGATTAAGCTACGCCCCGGATGAAAGAACGCGCGCGGCAAGCTGCCGCGGGGCTCGGGATCGCCCGGGCCGCGCCCAGCCGGCCAGCGCCAGGCTGAGTCTGCAAAGACGCGGCAGGACACATAGCCAGCGCTGCGCCTGCAAAATTAAATTTGCAGACTGCAAAAAAACAAGGCGAGCCTGCCTCGACGCGCATTTCCAAACCACGTGCGAGCATTCCACCGGCTCGTCACGGGCCGGGCTTTAACCTTCGAGGTCGGGGCCCTGCAAGGAGTGCAAGTCTTCAACCAGCGCTTAAAGACTGGCGTCTTCGCCATTCCTTGCAGCGGCAAGTCCCGCTCAATACCGCCTTAGGCATGTCCATCGGCAGTCACATCCCGGGCATCACGCATTGCATGCTGTGCGCGATACGTCTATCCATCATCTGTCTTATCCAGCTGATGCGCCCCAGCAGCGCGCGCTCTGTAGGTTGTTCGACGCCCTTGCTGGACAAGGATTCGAGGCCCGACTCAGCATCGATGGTAAGGGTACCTTTGATACAAAGACCACCTGTTTCAAGTATATGTTCGTTCGTTAATTTTGTGCAAGCGGTCCCGCCTTGAACTCATG